CTCTGAACCGCGGGTGTTCTGTGGCAGTGTGGACGTTCCCCAGGTAACTGCTGTCTCTTACGGCAGCTACGCCGCAAGGAGACGTGTGTGGGAGGGATTCTGAGCATGCAAATAATATTATGATGGGGGATAACAATACTTACCCGCCTGGTGGTGGGTTAGGGAGGTTACTTACTGATTATAAAGGGCTGCCTTCTATTAACTGACAGTTGACACATTGTGAAATGTGAATCCTCCAGCCTGTCATCATGCTGGGGATTTCTCCTGCCAGCTGAAGAGTTGGGGGGAACCTCACAATCACCAGCTCCTGCTAGGTGAACGACCTTATATGCTACTTGTAGGGCCATCAGAGGGATGCCCCCTGTCTCAGTGCCACCCACACTGGTTGACTTCATTGTGGTTCAGCCTAGTCGATATTAATGACCCAGCAGAAAAACCCTGGGAGTTCCAGGGCTCTGCTGTGGGCTGATAAGACTGTAGCTGAGTATTGTATCCAGTTCTGGGCACCACATTTCAGGAAAGTGTTGGAGAAATTGGAGACAGTCCAGAGAAGAGCAACAAAAAGGATGAAGGGTCTAGAAAACATGACCTTTGGGGGGAGACTGAAAGAACTGGGTTTGTTTAGTCGGGAAAAGAGAACGCTGAGAGGGGACATAACAGCTTTCAAGTACCTAAAAGGTTGTTACAAGGAGGAGGGATCAAAACTATTCTCCTTAACCTCTGAGCATAGGACAAGAAGCAATGGGCTTAAATTGCAGCAAGGGAGGTTTAGGTTGGGCATTAGGAAAAACTTCCTACGTGTCAGGGTGGTCAAACACTGGACTGAATTGCCTTGGGAGGCTGTAGAATCTCCATCACTGAAGGTTTTTTAAGAGCAGATTAGACAAATACCTGACAGGGATCGACTAGACCAGCGGTTCCCAACCTTTTCCAGATGGGGATCCATTTTGACAATTCAGAAGATTTGGTGATCCAAGGCAATTCAAAAACGGGGGGAGGAGAAGGGGCAGGCCCACCTGGGGAGACACTTGGTGACCCTTTTGAAATGTAATGGTGGCCCATGTTTGAGTCCTGACCCATCGGTTGGGAAACCCTGGTCTAGATCGTATTTAGTGCTGCCTTGAGTGCAGGGGATTGCACTAGAAGACCTCTTGATGTCCCTTCTAGTTCAACATTCCTATGATTGCCCCTCCCTCTCACTGCCTGGAGGCTTGTGATTTGCTTCAGCCATGGGCTCTATAGGACTCAGCCCGAGTGGTTTATGAAACACAACAGGGGTTAGTGACATCACCTGAGCAGCGTAGATTTGCTCTTGTTCCACAGAAGATGCCAAGCTCTCCGTGAGCTCCTGTGGGCACACAACATAAGAGAGCTCAGATACGTCAATAGGAGATGGATTCACGACCCTCCTACAACTATTACATGCTGATAAACTTCCCTTCTTTGTGGAGCATCTGTACCACAGGTGCAACATGGACATTTGCACCACCACATACTGTAGGGATTGGTAGGGATAGGAGGGAAAGTCTGGTAGTTGGGGCACGGGACTGGAATAGGGGAACCTAGCTGGCACCCCTCTTTTAAACCACAATTTTTAGCCTCTGACCTTTATCCTCTGCATCTTCAGTATCTTGACCTCTGGATCGTCATCCTTCCACCTAATCTTTGCTGGGAATAAACTGTGGATGGACTTTAGGAATTTTGAGAGGAGGAAGTCAGACCTGGCCACAAAGAAGAGGAGGAACCATAGGTTGAGTCTCTGCTGAATTTCATGCACACGTAACACCTGTAGTGCATCACATCCAGTTTGTGGAGTCAAGATATCTGGAGGATCCATGCAACAGAAATTCCTACTTGCCCTGAGTGCAGAGCTCCTAATTACAACCAGCACATCCATGAACATTGTGGGGGGTTCATTAATTGTATTACAGCAGTGACTGGAGGCACCGACTAATATCAAGCCCCTTGTGCTAGGTATATAACGATGAAACAGTCTGTGGTCCAATGGAAATAGCTGAGACAGAAAAATGAAGTCTTATCCCCACCTCCTGCATGTAGAAGACGGATATGAAGCACACAAAGATTAAGGGGCTTGCCCAAATTCACACTAGGCCCGAAAATGAACCTAGATCTCCCTAGACCTGGTCTAATGCTTTACTGAATGGCCACCCCTTCCTCAACTGCATCCCATACCCAGAGCTGCATCACTTGGGTTTCAAACCACGCAGGGGGAACTTTTCTTGCTTAAAAAAGAAAAAGAGAAAAGGCTTTTCCTTCCCCCTGGGGTTTTGTTTCATAATGACTCATGGCAGCATTTCCATTGATCTTACCAAACATATAGACATGTCCACTGCCACTTATGCTGGCACAACCAAAATTGCTCAGGGTGTGGAAGACACTGTGTTCACTGCCACTTACGCTGGCACAACCAAAATTGCTCAGGGTGTGGAAGACACCCCCAGAAAAGCAAGTTTTGTTGGCACAAGCGACAGTGCGTGCGGCACTGTGTCCACAGGAGAGCTTCTCCTGCCGGCAGAGTTACCGCCACTCCTTGCGGGTGCTTTAATTATGTTGACACGAGAGCTGTCTCCTGTCAGCACAGAAAGCTACACGGGAGATCTTACTGCGGCGCAACAGCATAGGTACGGCTGTGCCACTGGAAGGTCTCTAGCGTAGACATAGCCTAAATTAGGGGGCACAGTTGACCTGACAATTATCTCTAACACCAGTTTCACTACCTGAAGAGCCTGGGGATCTTTAACCACCACTAGGAGGTTGGTTTCACATCAGATCCACCAGCTGCCACCACCAACTCTCTGGTTCCCCTCAGCGCCAGGTTGAGTACTGATGCCGAAGGGAGAACGCGACTCGACGACCACTCCCAGACCACTCCCCAGAGCAGCTCCAGCTGTTGAGGCACTAGGAACCCCAGGCTACGCCCCCAGAAATACTAACGGTAAACTTGTGTAGCTGCCACATCGGGCGTGTGGTTCAGTCAGCAATATGGACTTTTGGAGGCAGACTTGGCTAACTCAGCCCTGCCAGTCTGGATGGCGGCACACCCTACAGGTATTAGCACCTCATCCTCTGGTTCACAGCTGTTCCTACAGCAGAGGTTCTCAACCGTTTTGATACCAAAGACCAGCTCGCTGCCTTTCTAAACTGTGTCAGGAAGAGCTCAGGGACCAGTCCCTGAGAAACCCGGTTCTAGAGGTCTCCTCTCCAAGCACTGAACCAGCATAACCTTTCTTAGCGTGCGAGTCTGTGAAGAAAACCACAACCACAAGGGGAAATTAGGCAGGCAGAGCGTAACAACTGTGGCTACAGGGGTCCGGAGCAAGGCCAGAGACACTGAGCTCTGCTGGAGAATGAAAACCTGCCATTGTGCCTCTTACTTGTTCCTGTCTGCCATGGACTTCTTCCTTTTGGCCTTAATCTGGTATGCAGACAGCTGCCTTTGGCAAGCCAGCCCAGGCTGCTCCACTACCCACAGCTGGTCAATGCCATGCTGCAGGGTACTTTTCCTCCACACAGATGGGAGAAGTGGGAACACTTCACGAGGAATCTGAAGAAGGAAACAAGGTTGTTTAATAAGCCCCCAATCAATCTCTCCATCAGGATGACGGGTTACACGAAAATGCCCCGTTGAGCTTGGTGAGCCAGGGCAATTCAAAAAATGTGTGAATGGCTCCTTAAGAGCCACCTGGGGAGACACCTGGCGACCCTTTTGAAATGCAATGGCGACCCATATTTGGGTCCCGACCCAGAGGTTGGGAAACCCTGAGCTAGAGGAACATTGCAAACAGCCCCTGTTGTCACTGGATGGTACAATATTTCTGCATCTGTGACTGGACTAGGCAGGACCATCCTTAGGATTTATGGGGTCCTAGGCAGTATTGTCAAACGGGTGCCCCTAAGCCCAAAAGCAGTCAGAGGGGGGATGACAAAATTTTAGAGATGTGATTTATATAATCTCCAGCAACACACTAATGATATATTTAAGCAAATTTTAAACTGAAGTCCCATAGACTAAATAAATTCAGACACTGACAGTATAGACCTGAGGGTGGCAAATGCCTATTAAATGGTTTCATTACTATTTGAATGGCTCTTTCACTGGTTCAATGTTCATGGGTTCAATAGGTCTGGCAGGCTTTCACTTTTAAGTGAACTGAGATCCTCTCCCAAGCTAAACTCACCAGGCTGCAGCAGTCACAGAACAGGGATAGGAAGAGGCAGGAGGTGGACATTAAAATTCAGGGGTGCCCCACATTTACAGCTGCATATTCTGTGTATGGGTGAGGATGGCCCTACTTCCAGGGAAAGTCTAATACTTAGTGTTTTTGTAAACTACTTCTGCCTGAGGCTCTAGGAGCAATTTACAGATGTTAACGAACTCTCCCTTATGCTCAGTTTCAAGGCACCTCCTGCCCAGAATACCATCTGGGATCCTTTGTGCCTTTCAGTGTCACCTCCTGTAAATCTCTCATCAGGACTGGCTTTTTGAGTCAGCTTTTCCACACTGAGCTCAAAGGTGGGGTCATCCACTCCTGCCTGCTGACCAGCATTTGCTTCCTGGAAATGATAAGCTATAAAAAATAGTCATGTAAGCCAGCTCATCCTCTGGTGTAAAGGGGCTGAGTTCTATCGACTTCAAATGAGACTGTACCTCTTCACACCAGCTGAGGATTTGTCTTATGGGATCTAAAAACCCTGTACACCAACCAGAGACTTTCTGTTATGACATTAGTGGGATGTAAATGTAGCAGGCGCTCTGCTCCCATGATGAAGAGCCAAGCGTAAGTCACTAGAGCAGCGTTTCTTAAACTGTGTTCCGTGGCACACTGGTGTGCTGCGAGGCAGGCCGAAGCGTGCCGCAGAGAACAACAGAATTCAAAATGGCCGCCCTTATTTTTGCTCAATAATTTTCCCCCACCCTTTTTTTTCCGTAATGGGAAAAGGGTCAACCCTTTTTCCCCACTGATCGTTTGTGTGTGTGTGTGTGTGTGTGTGTTCCTCATAAAAAAATTATTGTTTGGTGTTCCTCGGTCTTAAAAAGTTTAAGAAACACTGCACTAGCCAGATACCAAAGCGTATCTCATGATATTTTACAGGCCCGTACATGGGGGGGGGGGAATGTGAAAGCTCACACCCACATGGTCCTCCATGGGGCTGATTCTTGCCGGCTATTGCTCATTCCTCAGGAGCGAGGCTGAGGGTGGGGATGGGCCTCACTCCTGGAAGAGGGGAATAGGAAATCAGCCTCAGCCTTTCCCTGGCCAGCTGAAGCAGGCTTACTTGGGGGGACTATAAGGGGCTGCATTCACACCCTTGCGGCCTGCATTTACAAAAAAACCACCCCCCCACAGAAATTCCTGCATACGGGCCTGTTTTACCATCAGAGCCTCTATTCTTGCCCTGCATGCTCCTTCTGTTGTCCTCCCTTGCTGTGTTAAGTGTACGCAGATTGTAAGCTTCGTGAGGTAAAAACATCTAAATTCTCTCTTGGGCACTGGACATGAGTGATGTTTTGGTTTTAGGCACAGGTAAACTGAGACACCGAGCAGTTGCATAATGTGCTCACAATCATTCAGCAAGTTAACAGAGGGGCAGAAATTGATCTCAGGAGGCCTGTCAATCCCTGTGATCAAACAAATATGCGCCTACAGCGTTCTCACTTCATGGTACGCTGCTCTTTTCTCTGGTAAAAAAAAGAAGCCTGAAAACTCTTCCTGAGGGTAGGGAAGGAACTTTGGGAAAAGACCCATGACTGAGACCAATTCCCTTCTTTGCAACCATGAGTTCTGAGGAGGCACCAAGAGCAGCATCGAGGACCATACCTGGTGGCAGGAGGGCTGTGGTAACCTCAACTCCAGCTCCTTCTTGCCAGCTGAGAAAAGGAAAAATACTCAGTTTTCAGAACAGCAACTCGATGTTGGACTCGTTCCCCTTTAAGACTGATCACATGACTTCCTTGGTCCTCAAGTCCTCACCTGCTCCAGCCCACCATAGCTAATCCCAATAGTAAGTGGCAAATGGTATCTATATTACATGAAGTAGCAAATACACTTGGACTAAGGCTAGTGCATGAAAGACCTCACTGATTTGCTCCCTCCCTAGCCAAGCCCAGCCCTGGAAATTTACTCTTCATGATTCTTTCTTATTTCTACAGGGGAAATCCATCACCTCCTCACAGAACAACCCTAAGTCTGATCCCATTCTTCCCCCAGCAGTGTAATTCACCTGTTTTCTTCTTAGCCTCAGGCATGGTGCTCCCTGGCACAGTTGCTAAGCTACCAGAACCTTGAATCCTTTTTAAGGGCATCTTTATATCCCCCATTTCTGACCCTCCCTGCTGCTCTAGAGAAATCCCTGCCGTGGATCTAGTGTGCCATTGGCTACTGCTGGGAGAGGTAACTGATGGGTAGAGATATTGTGGAGAACCCCCCACAATGCTGCTGGGTTCCCTGGAGATGGCCTTAAAATGATGTCATAAAAAGTGACTGTGATGACATCATATTCCTCCACTTACTCTCCTCCAGCAGGGTCTCTTCTGGGCACTATGGGCAGAAAAGAGAGCTAGGCAAGTAAGAGCAGATATGAGAGAGACCAAATCCTACGTAAGGGGTCAAGGAACAGTCAAAGCAAAAGGAGAGAGACATGGGAGCCACTCGGATTTTGATACTCATTATAAGGGACGTGTTTTCACAGCTCCCATTATCATTTGCCTACATGGGGGTCGAATACAAACTATAGAAATATGGTATTTAGAGGCATCTGTCTAGGAATTACACATGGGACCGTAACCCCCTGAATTCTAACCTCTTGGGAAAATCACATTGCTTCTCTGTAACTCTGTGTGTGAAAGGGGAATAATGGGCCATGAAAAGCAAGTAATGACCCAGCTGGAAGACATTTCCCTGTTTGGAATCCCAACCCAGATCCATTCCAGAAGGCCAGGGAACGTGACAGCCATCAGTGGAGACAACAAGCCTATTGATCTGGGTGCAAATCTGAATGCTAGAAAAGCCGGATTCACAAGCAAATCAGGACTCCCAGGGCGCGTCTAACAGAGGCGCTGTTCCAGGATAACATCCGTTATCCCAAAATAGCGTTCTGCACCAGCACACCCATTATTTAAAAATAACAGGCTTCTTTTTCTGGCTTCCTGTAAACCTCCAAGCAGGAGGATTAAGGAAGACGCCAGCATAGCGATTTATTTTTAAATTAGTGCTGTGTATTTTTAAATTAGTGCCAAATTTTGAAATAAGCCATGCAATGTATGCAGCTCGAATTGCGTAGCGTATTTTGAGATATGCGCTACAGTGTAGATGTACCCTCGGAGAGCTTGGTTCTACAGGCGGAGGAATCTCTGCCACCCCCTGCAGCAGCAGCAGCAGCTTAATTTGCAGCACAGGTGATTGTCTGTAAGCCGAACTCCATAACAGAAACGAGAGACATACAAGGTGGATTTGTAGCATTTTATACCCACTGTGCACATGTGCAAATCACTGCATTAGGGGCAGGGCATCAGAGGATCGGGCCCCCAGAATGTAACAGGGCCAGCTTCTCAGGCCTGCTTTCACCAGCCCCTTTACCGCGCAGTAGGAGACACCAGCCTCCCATACCCTGCTTGGGACACTCAGGCCCTCTCCCGATTCTGCTTCCCATGAAGTCAGAGCCCAGTTTGTGTCTTTCCAAGGGGCGAGTCAAAGGTGATTGCCCTCCCCCGTACAGCTCTGAGACTGAAAAAAAGCACAGTATTGGCACAGTGCAGAGGAAAGCATGCAGTGAAATTGGATAAACAAGAACAGGTCTGGTCTGCCACGGGCTTGGATTCAGCTCCCCCTGAAATTGGGCTGGGGAAGCTACAAGTGACTTCGATAGGCCCAGGCATCGGGCTGTCTAAACATCCTCAGCAACTGCTCCCATCCTGTGTCAAAGAACTTGGCTTAAGGAACCTCTTTGGAGCTCCCAGCTGCAAGATTTTCTATGGGGTTGTGAGCCTCACATCCCTGGCTGCCTCAGCAAACCCCCTGTGTTCATCCCAGCTCCCTCCAGGTCACAGCGCAGAGAGTTCTTTGCCCAGCAACCCCACTAAGCTCCTGAGGTGACTGGTTACCTGTTACGCCACCTCTTCCAGAGCTGCTCAGTCTGATCTGTGGTTTACCATCTTCTCCCTCTCCTTCCTTTCGCCCCCTGAAATAGCTCCTTCCAAAGGGGTTCTCTTAACTACTCTTGTCCTCCCCGAGATGGGCAGTTTCCCTCTCCCCGCCTGGGTTTGAGGGTCTTAACAACCCTGTCAGGACGCCTCTGAGACTGACTTTTGTTTGACATAATTATTCTCTAACCAAGCTTGTCTGGGCTTGTCTCCATACGTTAGCCTTGGAGACAGCCTGCTGCTGCAGGATCCCAGAGAAGCGTAACTATAAATCAGCAAGTATTTGTAAGCAGGAGGACAGGTCTGTCAGCTTAATGAAAACCATACCCTAGAGCAATGATCCACCCCAGTAATTCTGCTAGAGAAAAGAGCCCCAGCTGAGGGTGGAAAGGGGGGGGGGGTTAGAGAACAATCAGCTGCAGCTGAGCCTACCTAGAATCAAATGGGGGAGGGGGGTGCCTTTCAGAACAAAGCAACAGGTGTCTGCTAATCAGAATGGAGGTGAGGGTGTGTTGGGAACAGAAGAGCTGTGCACTGGTGCAGCATATCCTTGTTTGCTGTTTACAGTCTGTTAAATTGCACAAAGGGATTGTGAGGAGAGGTTTTTCAGCTTTATGTAACATTGGGTATAATAGAAAAGGAAAATCCAGTAAGTAAACCTGAAACCCCAGGGAGGGCTTGGTTCTTGTTTAATGTAGGCCAGGCTTGTCAATCTGCACAAAACCACACAGCCAGTACTCCCTTTTATCATGCCCATCTATGTGCTGAATAAATTTTTATATGCACTGAGGCATGTGCTAATGTGCACCACCAACAGAAACAACCCCTAGCTGGGGGCACTCTGCTAATCAGATGGGTGGCATCTGAATCTCTCCTGAGCAAGTACACAACTGCACAGCTTACGGGGAACACTAGCTACAACAGGGACTAGCTCTTTAAAAGCTCCCCTTGGAGTAAAGGGTGGGGCCAGACTCTTAAAAGAGCTCTGGGGGGTTGCATAGCTAGTTGGGCCCCCATCCCCTCTGCTGAGTGCACCCTGCCAGGCCTTGGGCCCTGAGTAATCACTTCTCTGGGGCAAAATCCTGCAATTCTCGTGTTCAGACTCAGCAGCCCAGCCCCCTGGGAAGGAACAGTGATTGCTCAGCAGGTCTGAATGGGCTTGGCTACTGGTAACCCACAGTAACACAACATGTGGTTTAATTTAAACAGTGGCAGCACAGCATAATGAGAAAAGGGCTTTTAAAATAATAAACGTTTGTCTGTGCCTTTTACTTAAAGGGTTAGGTTTATTTTATCCCCCCAGCTGCTAAAGTCGGGGGGGCTGACTGCTCCCCAACAATTTTTGTCAGTTTCCCCACCAATTGACTGTATTGTTCAAAACATCTGGGGCTTTTCATCTTCTCCCCCTGTATCACAGAGGTTGAATTCCACTGGGAAAAGTTGGTGTTGCAGGACCCGGGAAGGGCCTGACAGACAAAGGTGAATCTCTTGTGGGCCAGGAGCTGTGAATATTAGGTGTCACCCCACCCCCTTTCCTGGGGTCATTGCCTGGAAAACCTGAGAAGGAATTAACACCAGGCATAATAGAGTAAACAACCACCACCCATATCAGATGCAGGAATTGTCACTTACAGCCAGCTCCAAATCTCTCCCCTTCCCAAGAGCTCTAGAGCGCATGAACAGTTGCCCCATCCCTCTGGTACCTGCCAATTGCTCTTGTGTTTTGAGCAGACAGCAGAGGAAGGTGAAAGCCCCTGTCAGAAACCATGGTGGAGAGGCCTGAATGTCTCGCTGTCTAAGGGTTTCTAATGTGTGTATCATCATAGCACAGGGATGGGCAGCCACGAATAGTGGCCCTGCTTCACCTCAGTGGGCCACAGCAGCCCACTGCGGTTCCCCCTCCTCCATGCGCACAGGAGCCATGTACTTTACCTGCTCCTTCCCCTCCCTCTCAACACTTTTGGAGCCTGTGAATCACCTGAGTCACACTCCATCCCTGCTCCTCCCCCTCCCTCCCAGAGCTGGAACATTGGGAATCAGCTGTTGGAAGCATTCCAGCTCTGGGAGGGAGGAGGAGGAGCAGGGACAGAGTGTGAATCTAGTGATGTGCGAAAAGTGGGCGTAGGAAGTGCTGGGCTTGAGGTGCGGGGGGAAGGAGGCAGTCAGGGGGCTCTGTGGGTGTAGGTGGAGTCTCAGTGGGCTGGGGGTCACAGGTGAAGTCCCCGTGGGCCACAAGCCCACCTCTGCCATAGCATCTAGGCTGCAATGTGCACAGAAGGCCAGACCTACCAGAACTAAATATGCAGCAAGCAGGAGGTGCTGGTGTGCAGAGGGGATGGTGGCAAGAATCCAGTCTTGAGTTGATGCTCCATTTACTTCTGATCCCCACACTACATGCTTCCCTAATGCATAGTGCAAACAGGACCAGTGACTGTAGGGGGCCTGTCCAACTCTTTATCAAGTGGTTGGGTCCCTTGGAGACGTGAAGACTCTGCCTCATTTCCTTCTCTGGTTTCAGGTGCCCAAGGCAGAGGTTGTAGTGCTTTGCCTCTTCCCGACATCACGTCTCCCCCCAGTCTCAAACCCATCCTGCTGTGCACTCTGCCCCTGTGAGCCCCACCCTGCTTGTGTGCTACACCAGCATAATTGGGGAGTTAATGCCACTGGAGCCAGTGGAGCATCACTGGTGTAAAGCTGATGTGCCTGAGACGAGAATCCAGCCTAGAGGATCTAAACTCTGATTTGTTGGATGTACAAGCTGCTTCTCGTGGATATTTTTGTGGGTTTGAGCCATTTGCACATTTTCTCCAAAAGGTCCTGATAGGGGCTCTGTGACTTTTCAAAATTAATTGCCACTAGTTCAGCAAGATGCCCAGCTAAAGTTCAGTAGGTTCATTAGCTAATTCCCTGAAGGCCTTGGTATGCTTTTTAGACAGATGTGCTGATCGGTAGAGAGTCAATTTTTCCAATTATTCCCTTACCTACTGTTCATCAACACTTCCTCTGACACAGTCTTTATTACTCCTGTGCTTTATTTTTCCTGTTACTTTGAGAAAGCCTCTGACTGCTTGCAGCCTTTGGCCTCAGAGCAGTTGAGGGCCAATCCATGCCCTGCTATGTCAGGAGAAGGGAGGGGGAAGCACATGGGAGATCTAAGGTTAAGCAGAAAGGCCTGAAAATATTCACTTCAGGAGTTTCTGACACATGGAGCCGATTCTGGAAGGCAACTAGTAACTCTATCCCAGATACCTGATCTAACGGTTGCTCACTGGCCATTATTACTTTAGACCAGCGGTTCCC